ACCTAAGTGGCCAAGTTTGGACAACACTGATTTAGAATGTTCATGATCTAAATCTTACTTTTGCTGTGGAGTCAGCAAGCAACATTATGCATGCTGCTGTGTTCTCAGCCTCACCTGAGAGGCTCAGCATAGAAGCTGTAATATTTCCCCGCTGTTTGCAGCTATGGCAAGATAATGTGTGCAAACTGGATTGAGCGTCCCAAGCAGAGCGTTTCTTGGCTGCAGTGTAAAATTAACCAGAGAAGGTGATTGATGCAAGAGATTCCTCCCCCAAAAGAAACTCCTGAAGATGAATCCATTCTGACAAATTATTGTAATTGTCTGTTGAATTTATATTCGGAAGAAAAAGATAATCAGGAGCTACAATTAAAAAAAAAATCTGTTCTTTGTCACAGGTATCAAAGAAAATGTATGCAATGGGGTGCTATGAGATTTCCCTTGGCGATACCATTGGTGTTGGGACCCCAGGCAATATGAGGGAGATGCTTTCTGCAGTCATGAAGGAGGTGCCCGTTGGAGCTCTTGCTGTTCACTGTCATGACACTTACGGACAGGCTCTTGCCAACACACTCGTAGCACTTCAGGTGAGTTTCTCTTCAACCTTTGAAGCTACCTTTATTAAAATGAATGGCCATGAAGCCAGTTGGCTCATTTACTCCTGCTAGGAGAAGTCATTCAGGCTTATCGGTAAAGCAGAATCTACACATCAAGCTCTTACAGAAAAAAATGTCTTCCCCACCTACCTTCTCTAAGTCAAATCTGAGCATTAGGCAGGTCCTAATAAAGAGAATGCTGGCGAAGAGGGGATAAATTTTGCAAGAAAAAAGAAGAGAAAACTTATTTGGATCTTCAAAGGCTTGTTCAGTTCCTAAGCTGGAATTTCTCATGATTGATTACAGTGATTGCAAACCATACTTAAAAGGGTTCTGTTTCTCTTTGCAGATGGGTGTGAATGTGGTTGATTCTTCAGTTGCTGGCCTTGGAGGCTGTCCTTATGCTCAGGGAGCATCAGGAAATGTGGCAACAGAAGACATGGTCTACATGCTACATGGTCTTGGGATCCACACAGTAAGTGATAAGCTGCTTTAGTTCTCTCTCCTTAATAGGAGGTGGGCATCAGCAGTTAATTAAATTAAATCTATACATTTCCAAAACCCTAACCAAGGTTGATATTAAGCACACTTAAGATATTGTGTGAATGTAGCTGTTAGGTTTATAACTAAACTTGGTAAGTGTATGATATGAACCTAGCCAGTGGCTATCCCTGTTCACATTTGTTCTGGCCACATCCACTGCATGAGACAAGCATAAATTACTTCTGAGAGAAGATGGCCCATGAGAGAAAAATACTCCTGCATTTAATAAATAAAGTTACTGCTCCTTTTAAAGGAAAAACATACTTAATTTACTGTTCCCCTTGTTTGACTTTATTTTATTATTTTTAATTCTGTAAGATAAAACTAGAACCGGAATAATCTCTAGAATTTAGAAATGTAATGTTAGTTTAAAACACTATGCATTGGTTAATTACAGCTGCACTTGATGGAACTCCCAATTGAAGTTTGCAGCTCTTGTTTTCCCCAGCATATTTTAACTAGAAGTGTTGCTTCACATGTGGAAGGGTTGTATCCCACATCTGCTCTTTAAAGAAGATGACAAGAGACCTTAGATTGCTGTCTTCAAAAGATCTGCTTTTGAATCTTTGAGATGTTGCTGTAGACCAGGGTTTCTCAACCTGGGCAATTTTAAGATGGGTGGACTTCAACTCCCAGAATTCCTCAGCCAGCCTTGTTGGCTGGGGAATTCTGGGAATTGAAGTCCACCCATCTTAAAGTTGCCCAGGTTGAGGAACCCTGCTGTAGACGTTTCTAGGCAATGAAAAACAAAAGTCCAGCAGAATATTATATCCAGCTTTGTGGATGCAAAATAAACAATGTCATCTTTTTTTCTCTCTTCACCTTTGAAGGGTGTGGATCTATCCAAGCTCCTTGAAGCAGGCGCTTTTATCTGCAAGATGCTGAACCGGAAGACCAATTCAAAAGTCGCACAGGCCACCTGCAAACTGTGAAATAGATCAGGGCCTTCACTGAACTTGCTGCATGGCAGTCTGGAAACTGCCATGTTAGTATTCGCTCCCCTAACTTTATTTAAGCACTCTCCAATGCCTCAGAACTGAAAGGCAGGAAGAAGGGATTGTTGGATTTTACAGTAAAAGGAAGACATAAAAGGAATGTGGAACACTATCTGTATCTGTCAAACGTGTTGGATGTATTTGAAGGTGGATGTTACAGTTTTTCTTTTAGGAGCAAATGTATTGTTTTGATCTTGCCGTTATTTTTGACACTGGCCTCTTGTTCCTTTTGCCTGTAAGCTGTTTTGTAGTTGGGGCTACCAGACTCTGCACAGCACCCCCCGGTCTCTCTTTCACTCAGCACTTGAGGGTATCTGTTGATCTAAATATCTAAGGCTGCAGAAAAGGAAAGGGAAAGTAGTTTAATATTTTCATAATTAGAACTTAAGAAAGCTACCCCTAAAAGTTTAATGACACACTTCTGTTGGCTTCAGAGAGTGAAAATCCTAACTAAACTCCAGTGCTGGGCTTTCTAAAGATTCCAACTGTCAGGGCAAACTTTCCTTTTCATAAGCTCTTGGATCATTATGATCCTTTTTATGGTAGGAGCCTAAAAGTCTACAGGATTTGTCTTTTCAAGCGTGGAGGCAAGAAAGTATAAGCTGGGATTTCTCCCCAAACAAAGAATATAGGATCTTATTTGTGCCACTTGATTTTCTTCCAGTATTCTGCCCAAGGGAATCAAGGAGTAGTCAGAGACATACATACCAGCATGTATGTCAATCTACCACAAAGGAAGAAGCAAACATAGTAAGCCAAGTCCAGACCAAGAATAGTGCTCCTTGGCCAGGTTAGAAGTGTGGACTGTAAGAGTCCTGAAACTCAAACAAGGTTAAGAGTTTCTGAGTGACAAGACTGGTGGTTGCAAATGTTTCTAGCAACAAATGTGAGTGGTGTATCCACTTAGGACCAGATGACCAACTGCATCCTGGATTTGCTTGGCACTCATTAATTTGTCGCCTGGACTTGCAACCTTGCATTTTGGTGGTGTTCATCTTGCTGAGCTTCTGCACGTTAGCACTTCTTTTCTGGGATTGATCTTGGGACCCAGCCCATGTTCCACACATGTAGATGAGTAAGGTTCCAGATGGAAGCTCTGGGTCTGGGGTGCTTCTGGGTTTTTGACCCCCATTTTCCTTGTCTGAGATGGATTTTACACTTGGCCACCTTTGCCCACAGCCCAAGAATTAAAGTGCTTTCCACTCTTCTCCCATTTTTCTGCTCCAACCTTTCTAAATTCCAGCTGGAGTGGAATGGCCCCATGGTGCCTTCAGCCTTTTGCAGTGCCTCAGTTTTTCCTCCCCCTCAAATCCTGTTTGCCCAACTCCCACTTCCTTCATTATTTAGGATCTTGTAATCTTTTGGAAGTAAAGGAGCAGCAGTTCTGTTTCACACATTCACTCAAATAAGATATCTTCAAAAGCAGATCATTTTCTAAAAAATCTACAAAACCTTTGTCGAAGTAATGCTAAATTATGGTTCTGCTATTTTTACAGATTCTTATTACTGGGGAAATCACTCAAAATTTATTACAACAGTTTTTCTCAAGATGGTAGCCTATAGATGTAGTAAACTACTAATCCTATAATTACAAGTCAACTTTGCCAAAACATATTATAATCCAATATATCTGAAGGAAAAAAACCCAGATGCATCACCACGTTTATGTGACATGTGAGACTACAAATTGTTACTAAACTTTTTCAGCATAATAGTAAAGAATGCAATCTGATTGCTTTTTATTTATTTTATTAATCAGACTGGTTTATTAAATAATAAAATATTTGTTAAATTGGCTTTTCTTCAGAGTGGAAACATTAGTCTGTATTTTCTGGATACTGATAATTGCTAAATGTAGTGAACTTTCTTAAGTGAAACTTGTTTACTGGCTTTTATCTGTAAATGGGCAATCATCACTCCTAGTTAAAATTATTATTCAGTGCATAGCTCTTAAAAATTATAATGGGGTAAAACTAAGTGATCAGACAATGGGAGTGATAAATGTATTCTCAGATATGGTCAGGAGACGCAGAATTGTCTAAGAATTTGGATGGAATGATGTGCATGGCCCAAATGATATGCACACAACTGTGTTTTAGTCCATAAAAATCTTGCAATCTGTTTATTGGGATTACAGATGGGACACAAAATGCAAATAAAACCAACCATGCAAAATCCCAGATGAGGCTATAATGCTGCAAGACCTCTTGGTGGTTTCCCATCCCAGTCAGTGTAGGGCACATGCACAGCCCCACAAGTGTGCATGAGGCCCCCAGAACCTTTCCAAGCTAAGTTGCCATATCCTATTTTTCCCAGACATGTCCTTTCCATTCTGTAAATTCCATCTAGCTGGCTGTTTTTTAAAATTATCTAAAATTGAATTCTGCCATTTTTAAAATTCTGGATTGTGGTTCAGATTGTGGAAAACCTGCAGGCCCGGTCCTGCCTCCCCTGTTTGGGGATGGGGATGGGGATCTTCAATGGGGTAGGCTGTGAAAGTTGAGGGTGGCCATATTTATAGAGGGCTGACCCTGATATAGAGGATTTTTAAGATGAATATTCAATTGAAGCCAGAACTTTTCTTTTTAGGATTGATAAGAAATATAAATAAGATATGGAAGATTATTTCAATGCAGGTAGTCCCCAGTTTAAGAACGAGTTCCGTTCCCAAGATCTGTCCTTAAGTCGAATTTGTATGTAAGCCGGAACAGTATTATTGTATAATACTGTGTAAGTAATGAACTCAAACCATTGTGTATTTAACTTCTGCTATAATAGGCTCTGTTCTTAACTATGGATCATCCTTAAACTGGGCGTTCTTAACCCGGGGACTACCTGTATATGATTACTGTGGTGAGACTACTGTATGCACAAAGATGGAAAGATTTGGCACTACCCACCATGGAGGAATGGTTGGTGAAATTGACAGAACTCGCTGAGATGGACAAACTGACTTCTTTGATTAGAGAAAGGACGGTATCTACATTTATTGGGGACTGGAAACCCCTTATGGACTTTTTGCATAAAAATTTTAAAAAATGAACTTTGATTTATGGTTTTGATGATTAGACAGGATAATTATAAAAAGTGTGTCATGATGTAACTTTAGAGAGAGAGGTTAAAATATAATTGTACTTATAACTGCTGTGAAGAATATTGGAAGCTACTTCTTTATATCTTTATATCTTTATATTCTCTTTTTTTTCTTCTATTTTTTTATTGCACTTTTAGCTTTTTTTGTTATTTCTCTTTCATTTTCTCTGTTTAGTTTGTATAAGTTCTTATTATTGCTCTTAAAACTTATATATATACACACACACCCACACACACACACATACACACACACATACATATGCACACACAGAGAAAATAAATAAATAAATAAATAAATAAATAAATGGAGAGTTGACTCCAAAGCATGGGACCCCACCAGCATTTGGGTTATGGACTGGAAGAGGATTGTAACACAGGGCTGTCAATGGCTTATTACACCTGTCGAGTCCAGTCCAGGGGCTAATTTGCAGGAAAGCTCAAAACCCTGATTATTCCATTTCAGGGGGTTTAGAAATGTTATTTTGAAACTATTACTTCAAGGCTAGGCTTTTCTGATTTAGAAATGTATTACTGTACTCCGATCTGTTTTTTCTGATTTAGTAGAGAGGTTTCCTTTTGCAGCCCTGCTTATTCGTCCTGATTTCTGATCGATGGCACCTCTGCCTATTTTAGATCCTCAGCACAGTGTTAGAGAATTTAAAGATGGCGTCAGTTAAGCTAACTCTTAACTTTAGTCTCTAATAGGAGAATATTAATATAAAAGTAAGTTCCTGACAGGGGAGCCTTGAAACCCAAACGTCAGCTGTGAAAAATGTTACTTCTTGTGATTGCCTGAGTTCACCATGGAAACCACAATACAATTAAGTTTGCATACAGTATTCTTTGGCATAAGAGTTGAGGTTACTTCCTATTACGGCTCCTTCACTCAGCCAGTTTGCTGGGGAAGCAGCACATTTACGGTTTGCAATGGCAAAATAAATACTGGTGTTTTTCCTACTATTGTCAGATTAATTGGGGTAGCCGCTGGGCAATGAACAAAAGTTTGGAAATCATTATTTCCATGACAATAATACCCAATATATTCTACACTATTATTTGTTTCATATACACAAAGATGTCTGTGTGCGTGAGTGTGTGTTATGTGATACATTAATACAATATGGCTTGGTAGATATGAGACAAATAATGCTCCTTTCTCCAATGTGCGTGTCTTTTACTTGGGTGTGTGTTTGAGGTTTATTAATTCAATAATTTAATAGTTCAAATATGATAGCCCTATTCCAAAGGTTGCTGCCAAATGGGCTGTTTTTTGTGTGACTAAAGAAGGAAAAAAATAAGGGAGTAAGATTATTTTAAATAAAAGCTTTCGCATAGTTCTGCTCTCCTTGTAGGAAGGCAGTGTGTAGCAAGCCACGTACAGCCCTCAGACCACAAAATGTGGGTATTATTCAAATTATTTAGGCTTCTCTTTTGCGTGTGGGGGAAAATGAGGGAACTACAATGGATGACACCAAGTATGACTTCTGGGGCTATGCAGAACAGTTCCCTCAGCCACCCTGATTGCAAAGATACCACAGGCACTTTATGAAAGATGGCGTCTGCTCCCTTGGAAAGAGGCAATTCTCACTGAAAAACCACCTCTGGCTAGGCGGCTTGCTTCACCATTAGATGGAGATTGTACAGATTGACCAAAAAAAAAAAAGGGAAAGAGGGTTTCTTCCCCTTGGAAAGCTGCTCCAATCTCCTCTGAATGGAGCCCCTCAAGAGTCCTTCCGAAACAGAGAAAATGGCGGCTGGTTCCACTAAAACGGCCAGCAGGAGCCTTTCCTCCCTGTGAGACCAGCACCAGAACAGCCTTCAGTTGGATCGGTTCATCTCTCCACCATGTCAGTTTCTCAGACTGGCCTGTTGAAGGCCTACCACAACAGCCTTTTCTCAGGAAATCACCTCAGGATATATAGCATGGGAAGGATTAGAGAAGGAAGAAGCATGAGAAGGAAGGCAAAATGGCAGGCTTGGTGCGTTACAATCCGCACCTCAATTGGTGGCTGCCCTTACACTATTCAGAACTGACATCTCTGCCTCACGCAGCTTTTCAGACAATTAGCATGACGTCTCTGCCAACTGCCAAGCGGTCTCGCTTAACCGAGTTCTGTGCTTTGCAACTTGGCCTGAAGTGTTCATTTTACTTGAAAATGCGATTGATTTTGGAGGCAGCCTGTTCACTGTGGAGGAGGAAAAACCCATTCTTGTTCTCCCAGTTACTGGATTTTTCTTAATCACAGAATAACGCTGCCTAACCATGGCCAGCCCTTAATTAGTGGTTTGTTGGATCTGTATTCCACCCTTCTGTCCACGCTGGGCACTCAACCCAGCAAATGCAAAAGAAGAGACAACACAATTTAAACTACCCAAATAAAACAAAAACAATTGAAGCAAACTCTCCATGCTTGATTACCCTGTCCCAGAATGACGTCAATTGCACGTGGAAACTGAGTTGAACATATTTATTAGAAATGGATTCTTACTCTGCGCAAGGGAAAAGTAGGAAAATATTCCAAAAAAGAAAGATTATGTTTTTTAAAATATATTTATCAGACCTATGCCTGTGGCTATCCACAGACTCATTTGAAGCATGACAGACGCAGCTCTCTGTGCTTGATTGCGCCATCCCAGAAAGGTTTAGACAGCAGTAGTAGAAAAACTCCTGTTACAACTTTCATCATATACAGAGAAAGCAGAAGTGGAATCTGTTAAAAACTGAATGAAATACAGTACTGTCCATCTTCTAACTGCACCCAAGGAACCAATCTGCTTCTCCATATTGTGAAGGCCCCTCAGATGCTTTGCCCGCACTTGAATATATAATTACCCGCAGAAAGGTATCAAAACTAGGTTACCATTGGATCCAGTCCTACGGCAAACAGTTGCTTAAAGATCCCACTAGCTAAATACAGGCATTGCTACAGCTCTGTCGGGAAGCAACCATGTTTATCATACTGTAGATGAGCCTGCCTTCGTTCTCTCCTTTTTCTGTCCTTTTTTACCCAGTTCTGACAGTCATTGCATCAAGAAGCCAATGGGAAATCTCACCCACAAAGTTAACCAAGAGAAGATGAAAACATGCCTATGCTTGACCACTTTGGATAGCATTAAAAAAAAAAAATGCTTGGGCCAGATGCCTGAAATAAACCTGTTAGCAAAATTAGAGAGGTGGGATGTATGATGGTTGACAAGAGGCAAGGAGCATGGACATTTAGAGCTTTGTCCCAGTTCCTCTTGGAAATATTGCTATACAGCCTAATCTCAGGCTTTATACTATTCCCCTCCCTTCAAGACTAGTCTGTAAGAATATGAGATACACAGAGCTAACGTCGCAGAAAAAACTGCTAGAATATTTCCTACACTGAAGCAATTCATCCTGAAGCACCTTGGAATAGTTGCAGATGTGCTACAAGCTTTGTTAAATACTGGATTTTGTCAGGAACATCAACAAGGTCTTATAACTTAGGTTATAAGGTCAAGGTCAAAATGACTTTTTAATGCAAAAAAGTTGGGTTTTTTTAAAAAACATATTGTGATTTAAATAGAACTGCTTCAGGTTGGGGAAGATTAGAACCTGCTGTGTAGGGATTACAGCATGAAGTTGAAAAACAGGAGTTATTTTTTTACCTGATGTTAACAGGATGAGGCTCCACGTTATATCTGATTAAGTGTAAAGGGTTAAATCTTTCTTAAAGTT